TGACAGCAGCTGAATATGAGCCAGCAGAGTGTCCAGGTGGCCAAGGAAGACAGCATCCTGGCCTGTATCAGCACTAGTGTGGCCAGCAGGAGTAGGGAAGTGATTGTCCCCCTGCACTGGGCACTGGTGAGGCTGCACCTCGAATACTGTGTTCACTCCAAGAAGAACATGGAGGGGCTGGAGTGTGTCCAAAGAAGGGCAGTGAAGCCGGTGAAGGGTCTGGAGAACAAGTCTTATGAGGAGCGGCTGAGGGAACTGGGATTGTTAAGTCTGGAGAAAAGGAGGCTGAGGGGGAGACTTTATTGCTCTCTACAACTACCTGAAAGGAGGCTGTAGTGAGGTGGTTGTCAGTCTCTTCTCCCAAGTAACAAGTGACAGGACAAGAGGGAATGGCCTTAAGTTGTGCCAGGGGAGGTTTCGGTTGGATATTAGGAAAAAATTCTTCACTGAAAGGGTTGTCAAGCATTGGAACAGGCTACCCAGGGAAGTGGTGGAGTCACCATCCCAGGAGGTATTTAAAGGACGTGTAGATGTGGTACTTGGGGACATGCTTTAGTGGTGAACTTGACAATGCTGGGTTTACATTTGGACTGGACTGGATGATGGTAATGGTCTATAACAACCAAACTATTCTATGATCTATAAAGTATGTGTAACGGAGATCTTATCAGAAAATCGCTTTGTTGTTGGACATTCATATGGCAATCTACATATTTTTACCTGTTGCTAATGTAATTAAAGATGTTAAAGGGTAGTGGAAAATTTTATATTGAAGTGGAAATGTTATGTCAATGTATGGCACATGCTGGAAATTTCTTTTCTTTCATTTTTTTTGCAGCCAGTACAAGGCTTTGACTATGCCAAACAACACTTAGGTCAGCAGGGAGCTGAAGATGAGATTTTACCTGTAACTCAGGAGACTGTCGTACTGCCACTTCCAGTTAGAGATGCTCCTGCCTCCCAGGAAAGAGAAATTACTCAGGATGGGAGCACCATCAAAACTGCCCAATCCAATGAAACAAGGAAAAGGTACAGACTGACATGTGTCCACAGAGGGGTGGAATGGGGTGCATGCTAATGGCTGCTTAGGAAAAAATTGTAAGTTTTGGCATGCAGGCTGTGTGTGTGGTAGATGGTTCCTCCATGATATATTCTTGGCATAACTCTGGTCTGTGCTGGATATGTAAAGTTGCTGCAAAATACAAGATAGAGTGAAGTCTTCACAGATTGTACATGCATAGAGGAGGCAAGTGGGAAGTGACTCATATGCATGCTGGTGTTGTATACAGATGAACCAAATGAAACATGGGATCTGGAGCATGAACACCAGTAGCTTCTGAAACGAATCAAAAGACAGGACCTCAGCAACTGTAAGTTGCTGTAGCTGCAGTAACAGACTGTCACTCCAGAATTGGACCCAATATGTTCATTAGCAGAAAGGCAGACCCTAAAACATCCACTAAATTATGGAAGATATCTACAGCAGAACAAAGCTTTTGAGAGTGCAAGAATAAACTAGATAATGTCAGTGTCTTAGATTTTCTTAGTGACAACTAAAAGCATCAGTATATTATCAACATGCTTCTCATAACAAGTCCCATACTGAAACCAAAACACAGTGCTATAACTACTAAGGAAAAGATTGGCTCTATCCTAATGAAACCACGACATCTGCCCTTTGTTGTCAACCATGTGTTGTTCACACCGTTCATCACTTAAACCATGAGGGTTAGGTTATATAGTCCATGTGAACCTAACAGTACTTGTTGCTTTTGAAGTCTTCTACCTTCTGATGAAATGACAAGTGGAAGATGACCATGACACTGGCTGTGGCTGCTGGTGCTGGGCCACCACAGGTTAAATCTTTGCAGGAACTGTTCTTTAGAATGTTTTGAAGCCTCGCCAAAGCCATGTGTAAATACACACAAAAGATGTAAACCAACACTGTGAATTAATCCTCTAACAGAAGTGGTTAATCACTTCACTCAGTCCTTTGAATGAGCATAGAAATCCCCCTCTGCAAATTTTAAACTAACATTGATAAGCAAACTTAATCCAGGAATTCACAGGAAAGTTACTCTCATTATAAAATGTGTTGAACCTTGGTGCCTTTCAAAGCACCAAACTAAGAGTTAGTTTTGCCTTCTTCAGGGTGATTACTTAAGTAAGTGAGAACGTGTAGAATTTTAGCCTTTTTACATTCCCAGGAGTTGTGTCTAGGGATAGAATTTAATGGTTTCTGAAGATGAAGAAGTATTTCTTGACCTTTATGTATTTGCTCTTTCATCCAGGCTACTTTGCAGCCTGGAAAGGTCGATTTAAATCAGACTGCCATGAAGTGGCTGGTAACTGATCAGATTTTCTTCTCTGATATTAACACTGATGGAAAGTTCACAGTTAATAATATGACGGCCAAGTAAAAGGGATGAATATTTGGATTTATAGCAGTAGAAATCACTGTGCAAGCTACCCCTGCTCGCTTCCTTTCCTTGTTCCCAAGTGGAGCAGGTTTTCTTCAGGTGTTGGCCTGTCCCTGGATGATTTTTTCAACTGGGCAGGGTTTATTCATTAGCAGTGACAGGTAGGTTTATAGGGGAGAAATGCTACTTTTCAAGAATGTTTATTTTCAATAGAGTTTAACAAGAAAATCCCCAGGCTGGACTAGGCTGTAATTTTCCCACCCCAAAAAGAAGGTAACTTCTGCTGAGAGCTTCTTCCCAGCGCAGCCCACCCAACAGTGTTCTAGCTCCTTGTTGGAACTGGACTCTTGCAGTGGTTCTACTCTGCCCTCCCTCCTCACCCTGTACAGGGACCAGTTTCAGGGCAAGGATTTGCAATGGCTGAGTAAAAAAAAGCATTTCCTTAGGAGTTTCAGCAAATAATGGTGCTGGTTAAACCAGGTTATGTGCAAAAAGGAAAAAAGGAGAATTTTCTTTTCGTATTGTGTGTGCATACATGTAGAGCGAGGGAGTGAATTCTGCATTGTGGCTGACAAAAGAGCTGAGTGTAAATGCAGGCTAAATAATAAAGGAAGTGATTTAGCCATCTATATAAAAACAAAGCTCTGCTTTATTTTAGCTGGATAAATGACACTGAATCAATACCAGGATTTTTTGTCCTCTGCAGTACCGCTTCTGTCATTGTGGGGGTTGTGCGTGAGGGGCGTTTGCTTTCGATGCCACTAAGATGCCTGCCAGCCCTGAGCTGATTGAGCAGTTGCGTTCTCCTGCCGTCGCTCTGTTCCTGCCTTTGCTGTGTTGCTGTGTGCAGTTTATACCCTGCCTCCTTTTGGTACAAAATCAGTCTTGAAAACTCAGTGATGCAAACTGTGCAAATGAAATAACCTTGAAATGAGGTTGTGAAGGAAGCACTCACAGCCTCTTGTTGCTATGGTTACTTCCAGCCGGTCCCTGAGTCAGAACGGCTCCATCATCAGCAACGGGTCGGGAAAGCCCAGCTCCGGCCGCAGCTCCCTCCAGAAAGTAGCGGCACCACAAAAAGTGACAAAAGACGAAGGAAGGAAAAGAAATGGTGAGAAGGGTTTCTTGGTGAAAGCTGCTGCAGTCGCCCCTGTAGCCGTACCCACACAGGCACTGGCTACGTTAGAGCCATCCTCCCCTGCCTTCAGCAGCACTTAGACATTTTCTTTTCAGAGCTCGTTGTTTTTTCCCCCCCTCACTGCTAGAACTGTTTCCCAACCTCACACAGAACGGTATGGTGTTTATTCTTTATGTGTGGGCCTTTGTAAGTTTTCTGTATTTTTTTTTTGTTCTTTTAAAACCAGTAAACTAATGAAGCCGTGATGCTGTGTAGTAGGTGGACAGGGTTTACAGTTGGGGTTTTTTTTTTTACAGTGTAGAGCCCTGAGATATTAATTTGCATTACTGTTGTTGCTGAGCTGGCCCAGATCTGATGAAGATGAATTAGTTAGGTAAAAATTAATTTGAGGAAGTGCGAAAAGTCCAGAGCTTTAACTTTCCATCTCTTATCATCCTCATCATGAGTTTTTGTTATTCACACTTACTGACAGCTTTTCCTCATGCACCTAAGATGTTATGCTGGATGTTTTTTACAAGTCCTTGGTTGATGGTGGTGACCTTGTGACTTGAGATATATCAGGAACATCAGATGAAAGTAGAATGTAATCCCCTTTTTTTCTCACTTTTCTTTTCTCTGTCTCTCTGCTTATTTCTCCTGAGTTCTACCTTTGCTTCCATAGCTATATTTTCCATGTGAAGAGAAAACACTGTGGTTGAACCAATTGATCATTTCCTTCTAAAGGGAGGTAATTAAACTGGGTATGGTCTCATCTGATTCTGTCATGAACACAAGTCTGTAGTTCTTGTTTCCACACTTACATCTTTAACAAAGAACTCGGACAAAGAGAAGATCTTAGTCTAGTTCTCTTCTTTCTCCAGTAAATAACCAAGTAACCTCTGTAGGAGGCAATCCTGGTATCAAATCATTTCATCCCTTGATGATCCTTATGCCTAATACGAAAGTGCCACACAAAGGCTTTGCTGCTTTAGCAGGAATACAGTGCAATATAGAGACAGCTTCAGAGCACCAGAGCTGGCCTTTGTTTTGTACAGCAAAATCACACTGCATTTTTTAGGTGTCCTCTGTCCTTTCCATGCATGTACCATAGAGCGTTGCATCTTGTGGGGACTCTGTCACTGATATAACTGTAGTACTCTGTTCTTAAATCAGTTTTTATTTATGTACATGTACACAGAGAAGTTGTTAATTTTCTTTTGTTGTGTGTTTTTCACCTGTACTGCTTTCTTCTGACAGACTTGTGACTATTCTGATTACTCCAGACCTCTAATAAGAATTCTGACTGGTCTTTCTCAAAGAGGTGGTTGTTTTTTTTTTCTTCATAGACAGCATAACAATATTTGACAGACCTGTGACTATCCTGATTACTCCAGACCTCTAATAATGAGAATTCTGACTGGTCTTTCTCAGAGGTGGTTGGGTTTTTTTCTTCATAGACAGCATAACAATATTTCATGCTTCTAAGTTTCATGGTTTGTAATTATTATTTCACTGTTTCAAATGTAGCTCATTTTACGAGACAACAACATTTATGGTTTCCCATGTTAAAAGTTGTAATTTATGCTGGTTTTTTCCTTCCCTACCCAGGAAAGCCCATATTCTAAAAGTGTCAGATGATGCTTACATGTGTAGGCAAAATAACTAAGTGAAGGTATTTTTTTGTTTTGCTAGGTTTTAAATCTTCAAAGAAAATTGGTAAGAGCTTCCAGTTTCTTTGTTAAAGAATTGACTAACACCTAACATCCTCTCTTCTGATCCAGACTGTAGTGTGTTTATAGAACATACACATGCTACTTAAAGAAATCTTTCAGTGTAGTATAAAAGAACACTGACCCTTTACTTTAAATCTTAATTTCATTATAGTTCTAGCTTCAACTTTATTTGATAACAATAACTAGGCACTTTTCAAATTATGTGGAAAACTAATAACTGCTTTATTTACTTGTGTATTTTACCTTTTCTCTTCTGTCTTCTGAAAAAAACATCTGAATAATGTTGTTATTTAATATGGTCAAGGTGCTCCTTGTTAGGAGCAGCAAAGGAGGTCAATGATTTCTAGGGAAACATATTTAGTTACAATCCATTCATAGTATGGTTGCTTGTTGTCTGTTCCTACCACATTCTGGCAGCAAGATCTTGAGCTTGTGTGGCAGAAAGGAAAAGCTGGGTTTGCTTCTTTAAAAGTAAAGCCTATATACAAAAAATGTAGGCTTATATTTTTTGTATAGCCTATATACAAAAAATGAAATAGATGGGCTGTTTTCATCTGACTATCCTGGCTTTGAAGGAACTTGTGCATGAAGCACCTTTTCTGCAGGACCCTTCTTCTGGTAGAGACCTCAGCTACTTCTAGAGGAACTTCTTTCACCCGACTGACATGGCCCTACAAAGGGTCACCTGGTACTTTCCAGGCACAGATATGAAAGGGAATAAATACATTGTTCCCCAGTAAAGAGACGGGGACTTTCTAGCTGTAGGCATATCTTTAAGATATGTTTGAGAGTTTCCTGACATAACCCTTTCAGAACAGCTTCTGAGAAGGAAGATGTGGCTGTGGGAAATGAAATCACCTCCTCCTCACCAGGATTACAGAGATGGCCTCATATTTATTTCTATCTGCATGTGCAGATGTGTTTTTGACTTTTGAGTTATGTGATCCTAAATGCCTATTGAAGTTGAAATTAAAAACAAAAATCAAAGCACCTCTTACTTTTCATGATGGAGCTTACACTTTGTTTCCCAGTGCTATGATTACAAACACTGTTGTCATCTTGGATATTTTGTTCTTTTTGCAGGGTTTTATCTTTATCCAGCATGATTAGCATCAGTGGAAGGTGTTGGCTATTTTTCCTTCCAGTTTAAGAAAGAAGCAGCTTTTCTCCTCATGGTTTGTCTGAACCTGCTCCAGCTCTCTAGCCTGGTTGTAGGCTGATGCCTCTAATGCGCATGTCAGTGAAAGCAGCAGCATAATTTCTTCTCTGAAAAGCAGCATCTTAAAACTGGAATGAATCCCTTGATGGTCACATGTGTGATTTGGGGACTCCAAGTTAGAATGGCTCATTAGTTGCCATAGTTACAGGCCAATTTTAGATTCTATTTCTTGCTGACATTTAGTTACATGGAAAAATGACAGCACTGAATGTTACCTCAGTACATAAACTCTACATGGCTTGTATCAAAACTGACTCCAAATGGAGTGTGTCAAGGCTGAGAGTGAACAGTGTGAAACCAACATAGACTGACAGGCCTGGCTTAAGGACCTGATGTTTTGGAGGGTCAGGAGAACTCTTTAGCTGAGCCTTATTCTACAGAAAGCATGAATAAAATATTTATTTGTGTTACAGAAGTGATAAATTTTGCTAAGATAATAGCTTTTTTTTCCCTTTTGCTTTTCTTGGAAAACATTTATTAGGATTCTAACAGGAAGTTTCCTTTCTAAAAGTTGATGAGTTGGGCTTTCATTTACTTTGGAGACTTTAAGGGGGGGGGGGGGAAGAAGAATTAAAACCTTTTTAAAAAAGTGCCCAATTGCATATTGGCAATATTGAGAACTGAGAGATTAACGAATCAGCCAACAGAGGTACTGGGAATTTCTGAGATGGGTTGTAAAAGTATGGAGGAGAACAACAGGGTATTAGCACTTTCACCTATTGTTTTATCAGGCCTAACATCATTCAGGGAGAAGTAAATGGTTGAACCCACATGAACATAAGGAATTGTAGTAGCCCACAGTAAGAAGTTTTCTTTCACCAGCTCCTCACAGAATGAAGCCAGTGAAAATTCCATAGGTTGTTTTTCCAAAGTTTGAGTGCTTGATCTTGCAACCTTCCTGTGAGCATCTTTGTGAGGGTGTGATTGCTTGTTTGTTTTGAGAAAAATGAAAGCTGCAGTTTGCTAGCAGTTCTTAATGAAGCATATGATTCCATAACTTTTGGGCTGAAAACTCATATAGTTGAGCTCAGTTTTGTACTTGAACCTCATCATCAGGAAAGGACACGCATCACAGGTGAATATTTGCAGAGTCAAACTTGTTTAAGAAATCTTCCTTTCCTCCTCCTAGGAATCCCAGCTGGAGCACTTCTTCTCATCTTCCAAGCATTTGAACATTATCTTTAAAGATAGATGCAACTTTTCCAAAGCAGTTCAGTCAGAGGCCTCACTCTTTTAAAAATATCAGTCTCTAAGACTACCGTTCTCTCTGTCCATGCAGAAGCTGTCATATAAATTTTTAATTATTTTTTTCCATCTATTCTTTGTAGGGCTATCTGAAAATCAGGTGTCTGCAGGAACAAAGTACAGGGGAGGAAAACTTGCCTGTATTATTGGTTTAGCTAAAATGAAAGGGATTTTTGTATGTAACTCAGCCAAGCTATGATACACTGCCTCCTTTATTCCATGGAAGCGTGGGCCACCAGTTTTCACACTGTCTGATGTGGCAGCTCAGCATCAGAGCCAGCTTTTCTGAATTTCTGAGCAGTTGTCTGTAGTGACTGAAATGAAAATGAAATATGGCAACAGCAATTGAATCTGGTAGCAGCGATGCTGCAGTCTGCTTTGACACAGAGTTAGCTGGAGGAGCTGGCGTATCCTAGCAAACATCAGCACCCTTCATCTGCCTCCTCTGTGCTGGGTGGGGTGAAACACAAGTTAGGGTGGAAAGGGCTTCATCTTGCCAAATTTTGATCCTTTAAAGTTGGCTTCCTAATCTAACCTAAGCGGGTAGGCTCTCTAGTGACTGCAGAGGGTCATAGCTGATGGGGACAGGTGTCTCTGCTCTGGAGGGACTTGCCTTTCTCTTTCCACTGTGGAAGCAGCCCAAACAGCTGCATTAGAGCTGTTTCAATTTGAAGATTTGAAGTGACATGGTTCCCTTTCATGATGCCTGTCTCTGAAAGGCTGAGAAATCACAGTGCTAGGAAGTAAATTCTTCCTATGTTGATTTATGATGTAGAGAGAGGAATCTATCAGCTTAATTTGCCCCAAAAAGAGCATTAGTTGGGATTGTTATCTAACTCTTCACTCCCTCACAGTAAACTCCTAGGCTTTTCTGGAGTAATTTCCTGACATTTAACCATAGTGGGGCCAAAGAAAAAACCCCAAAACAAAACAACCGCAAACCAAAAATGCAAAACCCCAGATTCACCTGTTCAGCTGAAATCCCTCATATTGGTATGAGTTACTGTTCTTGAGCCTCCCAGAAGCTTTGTACATTGATTCTTTTTTTTTTTTTCTCCAAAGATTTCAGCTTTTGTGACATAGCTTATTATTTCCCCAATATTGTTTTCATTTCTTCCACTGTATTTTTTTTTTGTGTGTTTGTATGTTTTAAATATAAAGAGTGCTGTGACTCTGCTAGCATCTCACTGGTGACAGTGAACCCTTTGTTTCTTCAGACCTAGCCAGTACTATTTTCTGCTGCTTTCTCCACTTGGTTTTGGTTTGCAAGAGGCAGCCAAGTGTTGTGACCTATTCTGTGAACTTCTGAGCTATGTTTCTGAGCCTCTTCACACTCCTAAAAAAGCAAAAGGTGCCACTGCTTCAGTGCCCCTTTCCCTGTAGAGAGAGGAAGAGCACAAACAGCAACTCTGAGCTGTCTATGCTGCATGAGGGGAGCCACCCAGGTGCTGTATTCACAGCTGTGGTAGAACTTGTGTAGATGGGTGGAAAATACTTTCTCTTTGACCTGTTTTAGGTCCACATGGTTAACCCAGCTTTCTTTTTGTTTGTTTGTTTGTTTGTTTGGGGTTGTTTGGGGTTTTTTTAGAGCCAGTCTTTTTGATTGCTTTTCTCATGTCAAGAAAATACTGTATCTATGTGGCTAAGGTGCCTGTTGCAGCAGATCTCTGAAGGAACTGCGATCTGCAGGTGGTTGCATAATTAAGCATTTCTTAATGCATGTATGTCTGCCTTCCCCTCTGGATGAGCTTTACTTTGCCATTTAATTGAGTCTGACAGCAGTTCTCATCCACACAACAGTGTATATGTTCATGCCATCAGATCCAGCAGCAGCCTGGGCTGTTGTGATCTTTCACTAATATGTCAGCATTGAAGAAGACAAATGTGTGATTTCATTGTGCAGACAGAAAACTATTTCTGCAAAGCTTTTTAAAGCTCATAGAGTGCTGCTTTCTCAAAGAAGTGTCTCCTGCTGTAAGTTCTCATGCCTTTCCTATCTTCTTTGTATAGTCATCATCCGTGTTGGTTAAATCTTTTTTTAATTATTAAACATGTCTAGGGTAGTGTTACAGAAGTGCCAGCCAAGAAAATGGTATGATGGATTCTGTGCAAACCTTATGAAATACACGGTCTCTTTTTGAAAGACTTAGATAAATAGATGAGGCAGATATGGTTGGAGAAAAAGATGTAACCACAGGGAAAAATATCTTTGATTCTGCTTACAAGGAAAATAAACATTCATAGAAAGTGAATGAAACAATCAGCTAGTTAGAAGAGTAGACATCCCAGGTACAGGTTCATTAAAAACCTGCAAGGGTCAGTTCAGAGATCTCAAATCGCCTGCTCAGGTAACTCCTGTTTCAGGATCCGAGGCAAACCCAGGACTGCACCAGACTTTGCGTATGGGAAAACAATATCCAGGAGGAATCATGAGCTTCTTCCATTATTCTGTAAGCTGTTTGCTTCTCTGAAAATAGAGTATCTGTGCTGTTCATGAAGGGCTTAGAATCACACTGTCTCACAGTTGGGTGTATTTTGAAAGGGAGTGTGTGTGTACACAAGTGTTTTCTGTTGCACTGCAGTATCTTATAGAGAGGTATTTCAGTCCTGAATAAGTTCAGATACTGATGTTGTACTTACTTGTTTTATTTTACTTTATAGGCTTATAAACTCCTTCAGAAGCATGTTTCTGTATTGGTGAGAGCTCTTGTTCATACCTTTCTGGGGATAGACAGCTGACAAATGGAATGATTTAGATGATGTAGAAAATTTTTAACTTTTTTTCTATGTAGAGAGATTTTCTCTAAAAAGAAAATTATTTCTCCATTATTAATTTACATTCAGGAGTCAGGATTTCTTTTTGAAATACTTATATCCAGGCTCTTTCCTAAGGATGTAATCTTTTAGATCTGTGGCGTAGTTTGCTCTTTGTCAAACTATAGGTGTGGTTAAAACATTTGCATTACTTTCATACAAAATAAGTATTTTAAAAATTTTAATGCTTCATTGAATGACCTAAGAAAAGGCAGAACACGTTTACCTGCTTGCGAGTGTTTCCCAGGTTTTGGCTTTACACATTTTTCCTCTGTTGATGTGATTCTTTTCCTGATGACTTCTAAAATAGGTCAAATGGGAATTTCTGAGTGGAACAGCACGTATCTTTGTTTAAGGTATTTTACTGTAAGATTACCTGATCCACAGGTAATTTAAGTTTCCTTATTCTGTTTTTAAAGTAAGTATTTCAGTCCTTTTTTTTCTCCCTTCCAACTTATTTTGATTTGTGAGAGAGGAGGAAAGACAAGGAGAAGGGATAGAGAGAAGAAATCTTGTGTGGCCTTCATATTGAAATCTCTTGTGTGGCCTTCATATTGAAATCTTAGGCTAACAGAAGTTTGTTTTTTGAATGTAAATGAATAACTAGATAAAAATAGAATATTCCAGATGTCTATTTATTTCTTAACCGTTGAGAGCGCCAGTTCCCCATCCCCTTTCCCACTGGCTGGGGGGCAGCACCACCTGCTGGCATCACCGGCTGGAGATGGTGCAACCCCAGTTTGATGCTCACATCCCTGAAGCAGCTTTAATCCAGCACATCTTGCGAACTAATAGCTGCAGCGATGTGGAGATAAAGCTTCAGCGGTGGTCCTGCTCTTCGGAACCCGGGAGCCGTGCTGATCTGCGCTGCAATTGGCACTCAACCTGAATAAATGATTGCTTTGGATATATCTTCCTGTACTGCACTCCCAGGAAGATTAGGAGGAGTAATTCAATCTCAATGGATCATGTGGTGTGAGATATCTAGCATGAGATGTTTGAGATGAGAAATTATTGTTAAGTAGATGATTAAGTAATTTTTTGCCTTTTTCTGCTGCTGAACTTCTAAGTTTCGCTATGTGTGCATGCAGACAGTGCAAGCAAGAGTAGAAGAACTATAAATCCATAAAAATGTTGGTATGCATCTGTTTAAGAACAAAATCTGTATTGCTAATTATAATAGGCAAGTGTGCTTTTTGTGAGTGACTGTAAAGAACGATTGGGCAGTTTTTGGAAGTTTCCCACGTCTATCGCTCACCCAGCCACGGCATTTGGATGGGCAGGCGGGCCTAGGGCAGGGATACACACCAGAAACAAACACTCCAGGACTCCCACTTTTCTCTGAGCTCCCTTTGGTTTGTTTTTTAAAGTTTAGAGGTTGCTGTGGTTCAATCCCATTATAAACACTTGCTGTAAATTCTCTTGGAAAGGGATGGATAGGAGCAAATATTAAAATTCCCACAATACTTCCTTACGGTTCACTGCCAATACAAACTGTCACAGTGTGCCAGTAACTGCAGATCACACACTCTACAACTCATCAGTGAAAAAAAGGGCAAGAGAAAAAAACCTGCTTTTGTATTATAAATGCCAATTAATGAACAAATGTTAAGTTAAGCTGGAATAGCCTTCCAATTTCTAGTCCATTTGGCTATTACTTCCGTGCCAATAGCACTGCAGTAGGTGCAGGAGATGTGCTCACAAATGAGAGGGCTGATGATACTGAGGGTGCTCTTCAGTGTTATCGTACCACATCAGAAATGGCTGTTGTCTGTGATTCTTGATTCTCTTTATCTTTAATTTGTCTTTTCTTGAATGAGTCTTTGAACCAGACGAATTCTGTTTAATTAAGTAAATCTCTTGGTTTCTGATCCTGCAATGAGGTCTGAGGAGACAACCCATGCATCTGTAGCTAGTCATGCTCTCTGTGGGTGCCTGAAGATCGCTGCTGAGGCCTCAGCAAGCACAGTCCTTCTGAACACTGGGGTGGAAACGCAGCTGCACCTCTCAGTGCTTCTTGCTTGAAGTAGGGTACACAGAAGATGTTTGGAAAGAATCATGTTTTACAAGTTGATGCTTATCCAGGGTTTTCAGGCATGCCTGGTTCAGGCTAATGCTGCAACAGGCAGCCAAGGAGAAGGGATTCCACAACTTGTATCACTGATGAGACTATCCAGGCTCACCTGAGCTGTAATCATCATGAGAGACCGTCTTCATCCATGAAAAATGCCATTCAGACAAACTTTATATCTCTTGGAGATAGTTGTGTCACAGTGGAGGTACCTTGTTAGGGTAGTGTAGAAGTTTCAGCAGTGAATTACAGATAAGACCCATCTTCCAGAAGCACATCTGGTGACTTTCGTGAGAGCTGAACTGCTCCAAAATGCCTCCAGGGAAGAATGTCCGTGCTTCACTTTTATGGTCACTGGAATGTAAATGGCCTTCTGCTCAAGTGCAGTCTGTGACAGGCAAGTATGTCTTTGTTCATCTGATTTTGCTGTTGTGGTGTCCTGGTGACTGGTTGTTAGCAGAAGGCCAGCAGTTGGTTTCAGTGAGCCAGGCTTGTGATCTGCTTGCTCCAGTGAGCAATACAAAGTCAGAGTGTTTGAATAACCCCAGGAGGGACGAGGGGATTTCAGACCCACTAAAGACTCCTCTGTCATATTTGGGCAGTTCTGTGTGCCAGAGGGACAATATTTAATGACAGAGTGATTTAACCCATATGTTTCTCAAAAGCTCAAGTAGTGTCAACTCCAGCCCACACTGAGTACAGACAGAAAGATAATGAGCTTACTCAGTGGATACATATTTTATATTACCACTGTCAAATATTTTCTTACCAAAATCATTGTCTGTCTGAAGTGCTGAGTTTATACAAGTCCATTGTAATTTGAGCAGTGATTAAATATTAAAACAGAGTATATTTTCAGAGGAAATAAATTTAGAGCAGACCACTTTGTTCTTTAGCAGAGGATCTCTGCTCCTGTCAGTTAGGAGATGGAGCAAACATTCTTCCCTCTAATAGCATAATTATTCAAAAATGCTTGCAAGAATCTCTTTGTAGAATTTGTGTTCATGCTTTACAGCCATTCTTTTATTCCAAGATAAGGATACAAGGTTTAAGATTCAACAGCTGATAAGGTGATGCAGGTTTACAAACAAAGAGCCCAATTGTATGTGAGAGTTATCCATTTATATAGAAATCTAAAACTAAAGATGCTTTTCCTTGCCATTTTACTTTAAATATTTTCAGAAGCCTTCTCCTGTCTCTTAAGAAATTTTAATGGTTTAACTTTACAACCACCTGAAATACTGCTTTGCAAAGCAAAAAAATAACATAAACTTGGATGCCATCAGTTTCTTAAGCATGTTTTAACACGCAACAGTAATGCTTTCATTTTAACAGATGGCATTTTTAGCATTAATAACTTCTGCTAAAATCAGTAGGTTTATTTTTCGAATGTTGAGAATGTCCACGTTCTTACCGTATATGACACAAAATGCTGCACTCATGGGTTCGATCAGGTGTAACTACTGATGCCTTGGCACGTGGAGACTTCTGTGTGTGTGTGTGTGTGTGCATACATGTAACATCTTTTCCATGTGGACCTAGGAAAAGATGTACTTTGACTTTCATTGTCATTTTCATACAATTTTCTGTGTCATTCTTTTTCTCCTTTTTTTCCATCTTATTAGTGCAGATTGGGAATCAACCTTCTTTAGGGGAGTGCCAGATAATCCTTTAAATGCCTAATGTTGTCTGTAATCTCATGGGATTTTTTTTCCAGTGTAAAGGTCTCCCAGGTCTGCTCCTTGAGTGTACTGAGCACATCATTAATCTAAAGCATGTGCTTGCTGAATTTCACCTTAAACATGCAGTAAAAATGTCTGTGCCTTTATGCTGAATAAGTTTGATGTGCTTTAGTGCCTGTAAGTGATGAAGAGGAAGGAGGCATTCTCTTTGATAACATTGCCAAATCTGCCGCTGACCCCTTCGACACCTCTTCTGGATCGGTACAGCTGATAGCTATCAAACCTGTGGCACTACCTGCTGTTCATGCTGCGTCAGAAAGGAGCCAGGAATCTGCCATCATTAATGGAGAGGTAAGGACTGCCTGATAATGTCTCCAGCTGTTTCCTTGGCTACATCCACAGGTGGAACAATCTTAAGCCTGTCAGAGCTAAAAACTGATAAGAGCTTTTCACCCTGATGCTATATAAAGTCCCATTAGCACTGTGGGCTCTGAGGTCTGGGAATTTAAGATTTGCTCTTTCATAATGCACCTATGAATGCATGTGACCTTGGAAGAGGCAATTTTCTCTATTCCTACCTTCTCAATATCCTTCTATCATACTCATTTTAAGAAAATGGGTCAGGGAGGCAGACAGCAGAATAACATCTTTGTCCACATGAATTCTGTGGCTGAACATGGAAATGTATATAGATCATCTGGATCCCAAGCTGATCTGTCTATACTGAGCAGTACATCTCATTCAGAGCAAGAAGGGATGCGACAGGAGCATGGCTCTGTGCAGTCTGCACTCCAGCCTGTGCACAGAGGGTGCAGTTTTTTCCTGGGAACAAGTGGAGTCTGTAAGTCAACAGGATGATACTCCCAGTGCTGTGTGCTCTCTTGTACATACATTTCTTGAAGTTTGTGAGAAGAATATAGTATTTGACTCTGGAAGCACAAAGCCCCAGTAAATTGCTCATTTTCATGTAACTGACAATTTGAAGCAGGAGAGAAATTTCCTCAATCCTTAGGAGCCTCCATGGGACTTGACCTGGATGAGGTCAGACCAAGTGCCTGTTTATTTAAGAATACTGTCTCTGACAGAGGCCTCTAACAGATTTGTAAGGAAGCATATAAGTAAGAGGAACATATGATGATTTTTCATCAGAATTCTTCCCCAGCCATCAGTGATGACTTATATAAGGTTTTATGTAGTCAGGGGCAATGTCTCTATACTTACTGGACCCTAGAAGAGTTTTCATTGGCGAGTTCTCCCCATGGTACCCAAAAGCAAGCACGGCATTGGGTCACGACAACTGGCTAACATCATCTGTGTTTTTCTTCAGTGGGTGTATCTGAGTCACTGTTGTGATGGTGCATAGTTTTTAGGCTAAAATTATTTAACCATCTGCCAAGCCTTAAGAATGCGGCGACTCTGTTCACTTGCAGTTCCTTGCTGCTTACAGATGGCACGGCGTGGTACAAAAAGAGCTCTGTAAAATGACACATGCAGCGCATCAAACATGCTCCAACAATACCGTTTGGAAGTAGCCAGCCCAGCACCATCCCTTAAACATCTTTTTGCCTTTTAGGTGAACAAGGCTTTGAAGCAGAAGTCCGATATAGAACATTACCGAAACAAGCTGCGCTTGAAAGCCAAGAGGAAGGGGTACTACGATTTCCCACAAGTTGATAATAACAAGGTGGTGACAGAGAGAAAAAGGATGTATGAAAAAAACCAGAAAGAACTTGACCACATTTTGGATCCAGATGCAGATATCTCGTCTCCGTTTGCTGAGCCTAAGAGCAGGTGAGAGATTTTAGATGCAGTTCTTCATCTGGGAGGAAATCCGATGTCCAGGGGTTGTAGGGAATCAAAGGAGCTGTTCTTAATGAGTCAACTGTTTGCTGTATGGTCAGCTGATCCCTCCTACTTTATAAAGAAAATTCATATAGCCCGTGATTATTTATGAAAGTATATTATCTGGTAAAACTACAATGTGGTTAAAAAGAAATAAATGGAAAGATTAAAAAAAAAAAGAGAAGGGACTGCTGCAATTTCTTGAGCCATTTTCCAGGTAAGGTAAATAGAAAAAGTGGTAGTAATTTTTTTCTTTTTTTTGTAATTCTGAGAGTGGACTCAGGCCAGGAAGTTAGGATCTGAATTAATTCTTTTCCAAAGTTCACTGGTGTTATTATTCTGTCATTATTTTAATTTGAATATAACTATTGCAGTAGGCATAAGATAATACAACCAGTGTGTTGTCCATGTATTTCAGTAAGTCCTGCAGGGATGGGATCTGGTATGGATGTGTGTGTACCTGTTATTAATGATCTTCCTGTGCCTTTAACAGAAAGTCATAATTTGCTCATCTGTAATGTGAAGCTGACATATTGTATAACAATACTAATGTCTGATTAACGCTTCACTGTCTCTTGAAGATGGCACACCAGTAGTATTCATCTCCCCATTTTAGAAACGAGGCGGGAATGTACATGCTGATTCTGCCTGAGCCTACTGTGGGTGGGAGGGTGGACCTGCTCCGTTGCTGGTGCTCTCTGAAGCACAAGTTCACACATTGAAAAGAGGAGATCACATCAGTCCTACCCCAGGAATGGCAGAGTATGCAGATTCCTCTCCCCTGCGGGTGGTGAAGGTGTGAAGGGTTATGAGAGAATTGCACCTCACATCACAAGGGCTTTGGTTCTTACTGTAATCAGAGACCAGCAGCAGTTGATTCATGAGAGAAAGAGATACTGAAGTAAAGTTCCTCTGGAAATGGCCTCATGCTGGGAGGTGCAATCTTACATTCAATCTCCTGAAAAGTTCAGACCAAAGTTTGCCTATGAGCATAAGTGATTACTGCAATCTAAACATTGCTGGTGACACAGTCTTTGCATACAGTGCAACTTCAGCAATTACCCTTGGAGCACAGAGATGAAAAGACTGTAATGGGAAATATAAAAGCAGTGTTGTCTCAGAATATGGGCAAAAGCTGTGATCAGATGAACTTCCATGGGTCTATTGTTAAATGACTGAGGGATACTGCCCTTGATGGGCTGTTTCCCAGGGTTGCACTGGTCAATGAAGAAAAAAGATGCTGACTTAACCATGTATTATGTCCTTGCTGGATGGTTTGGGCATTTCCTTGTGCAGTTTTCCTGTGAAGTAGGAATAAATTGCACTGAAAAGGTAAGATGCTGAGCCCTGAGTACACAGGAGTCCTGCTCTGTCTGCGCTGTCTGTCCAGAAGATATAGATGAAGGAGTTGAAATATTGATATGACTGTGTGCTGTACATACAGTGAAGGGCTGAGGCATTACTTTGGATATTTATTATGTGTCACATGCCATGTAGGAAGTGTTTAAAACTTTACGTGTGAAGCTTTAATGCTAGCCATCTGCTTTTTGTTAAATACACTGATGTTTGTTTGTTCATGTGCCAATGTGCTGAAAAGTCCTGGAATACATTTTTTCTGTGTGTTTTCTAATGTGTTTTGTAAACCTGTCACAGCCTATTTGAGATCATGATGGCTGGCATGATATAAACTGTTTGAAGGCAGGTATACTGCTGTAGAGGAATGATTTCATTGCGTAGCTGAACCATAAAAGGATGACTGATGGATTTACTTGTTAAATATATAGTCTGTATTCCTACACAGAAAGAGAGAAAAAAGTTTTCTGATACACTTTCTGTAAAGACACAAAGCATTTAAAGAACTTCACAGATGTTGCAGATGTTTGCAAACCAACCAATTTCAAAGTTTATGCTAAAATTTCCATTCTAACACCTGGAACTGAGCTTGATATGCTGCAACAGACATGACAGCATCATTGTCTTCATTTGTTTAACTGAAAATAAGATGGCTAAAATGGCATAATGCTAGAGGCAAACCTTGGATAATACTACAAGATAATGTAGGACTCGGTTATTGATAAACGAATCAATAGAATTGTGTGTCTGTAATGAAATAAAATTGCTTTTAAGGCAATCTAGTTAAGCACAAAATTGAAAAGATTTGGTTTCTAAATTTTCTGCTGTGTATAATTGTATCATATTTACAGCAATTAAAAACTGAAAAATTGAATTATTTTTTTTAAATAATATCACTTGAGAGTAACTCAAAGATTTCAGAGTTTCTAGGGAAAAGATGTATTCCACTCTTTTCTGTTTTGTGTACATTCCACTAACTTAAATCACGTTATTACAGCATTTCCAAAATATATGAGAAAAAAATGCAGTTGATCACATTATTCAAGATCACCTTTACATTTGAGATTTGCTTTAAATTATATTTAAAAGTAATTTACAAAACATCACCACTAAATAACTTGATTTGTTCAAGAAAAAATAGCTTTATGCTCTTACTACTTTTGAGTCTTCTGTACCATAAAATTAATGTTTTAAAAATCATAGAATGGTTTGGGTTGGAAAGAACCTTAAAGCTCATCCAGTTCCAACCCCCCTGCCATCAGCAGGGACACCTTCCACTAGACCAGGTTGCTCAAAGCCTCATCCAGCCTGGCCTTGAATGTTCCAGTTGTGTTCCCAGAAGGCCCTTGCTAACCAATTTGAGTGTCAGTTGTTAGAATTCATGCCTCCTTTCTCATTAGTAAAACTTTATTTAAATGAGCTGATTGGCAATCTCAAGGCGATTTTTAAGAGCCTACTGATGATATGCACTAGTCTGGGTTTTTCTTTAATAGTTTGTAATCAGGTCAAGAATCTGCATGTATTAGAAATATGTGTATTGGAATCCCTTAGAAAATATGCTACAACTGTGTCAACTAAGTCTTTACGGACCTGTTGTAAAACATGTATGAAATTTCAGAGACTTTGAGGAACATAAGGATTGTCAGATCTGATCAGCCTTAGCGTAACCTAGTTCCCCATGTTTTCTGGTAATAGCGACAGTATAGTCTTGGAAGAAACAACAGAAGGGAATTTAATTTATTCAGTAATATATTTATAGGGAAAATTTATTCCAAAACCCCTGCTTGTGTTCTGCTTCGGCAGTGCATTTGGGACTTTCAAACATGTGTATGGAGATTTGTGATTAAAAGTCACACAGAAGTTTTTGAAAGTCACCTTAAAATTAAGTACATGCTTGAGTACTTAGTTTAATCAGAAGTGTGAAATTGATTTTTTTTTTTTTTTCCTATCCTGTCTGATCATGTAAATATCTGTCTTTCTGGATTTCTTCTTTCTACTGCTCTAATCTGTCAAGGCAAAGATTTCTGTTAACCAACAGAACTCTTATCTTCTTATCAGTGAATTAATTTGGACAGTGTTGTCTTTTCATTTCATTGATGGTTCTTGAGAGGTTAAACCATAAAGTCTTTGTAGCTGCTGAATGGAACAGGTTACTTAACATGGTTTCATCTCATGTCACTTACAGAAATGGTCCTAGGCTTTTCAATAACTCAAATACTGAAGTAGATCTCTTTGTAATAATTTCAGGCAGTCCTAAACATTTAAAACTCTGGAGACCTTATTTTTACCCCACTTATTAACTCAAAAAGAGCATTCAGCCACAGGCTCACTTAACTTTAATACAAGGATTTTTTTGGCCTTCACTCAAATCTTAGGACAAGATTGTATTTTCTCTGAAGTTACCTGGCAAGCATAAGAGAACAACAGAAAAGTCACTCAAGTCTTCTCCCTTTAATAGCCCCCTTTCAAATTTCTGCTTTCAACTCTTCTCTGATTCCCACAAATTTATCAATTAAGGCTGAAAGGCTGTTGTGCTCTGACTGATGTTTATTGCCTTTGTAGCCCTCCTTTAGTGTAGCCTCAAAATGATCCCACCACTGCGTTGAACCTCCTACCACAGCAGCAATCTTGGGCTAAGATTTGATCAAAGGGAAAAAAATCCTGTGATTTTTGTACTTGTTTAATGTAAATATGTACTTGGATCAATGTGATACACGATGTTTTTAACTTTCTCAGGAATAACCGAGCAAAATAATGTTGTGGACACACAATGTTACTACAGCATTATCACTTGGGTAGTACTAGCTACCCAAGGCAACCCTGGCAAAACAAGGCATTAGTGTGTGTTTCTAGTCAACCTGTGAGGGTTAGTTGGGATCTGCTGGCTTTGCGTGCCAGAGGGACGGTATATCCCGACAGGTATGGATAGTCGTCCATCTAACCTAAGTACACTGAAGAAACAGCTCACTTCAGAATCTATGTTGTTAATATTTTGCATGAAACAGTTGCACAAAGCAGAAGAGCATGATTAGGCAAAGACAACTTCATATGGGGCTTTAACAGCAGTGTAATTACTGTGTTAATAAATGGAACTGCCATGTCATTATTTGATCTCCCATTGATCTCCAGTGGGAAGATTGCTTCTCTGGGATATGCAAGAAAATAACTAATGGCCCAGATACACTAGGAAAACAGCATCTCCTGAACTTTTTTGGGTTAAGTGCAGCCTTCTTTAAAGGTGCAGCTTGATGAAGCATAAAATTCCTGTATCACAATTTGGCAACTGCTCCTGACAAGTTTATATACAGATACGTTCTGTATCTTACAGAGAAATGCTGTATTTGTTTTTTATAATACCAGTAACAAGGAAAGAAACGGTTGTGTTGGGAAGATTACAGACTATTTTGGGTATTGTGTTAGATGCTGTCTTCTTTCTAGTACCTTTGCTTCCCCTTGCTGCTGAACATGCAATGAGGAAAGCTTAGTGCTTAGGGATGCCTTTGCCCCAGTGCTGCTCAGAGCTGTGCTGGAAGCTGTTCAATCCCAGGGAGTACAGCTCTCTGATAAAGTTGTGGCCAGTTACCAAACTGGCTATTTAAAAACAGCATCTTGCAAGCAGTTCCCTCCCACTCCTGTCTCTCCTCCTGTTCACTTTGCTGGGTGTTTGTTTTAGTGGCGCATTATTCTGCTTCTCTCTTGTTGCTCAGGATCAGCAACCAGAATCCCTGCTCCCCATTTAAGTGTTTGGGGGTCTTATTATTTTTTTTACAAGAGCACCTATGTTTTTTTAATTAATTTTAATCATATCAGCTGAGGTTAAAAGGGTTCTGATTACCTTCTTGGGACATATTTAATCTGATAAGCTCTCACATATGATATCCACGTCTTTTACGGAGCTTTATTTTCTTTAACAGTAAAAAAAAAAATCTCATAATAAAAGTTACTGATTTCTATCACTTCCATATACATAGAAAGAATATCCTATAATAAAGTGTCATTTTCATGAACTTCATAATTTTAGAATAAAGGTAAGTATTGAAAACTGCTGCCTGTCATTTTTTTCTGTTTTCTTTTTGTTTTACTGTTTTCTTGTTTCACGTTTTCTAGGCAGCCGATGAAGAACTCTGTATACAGAAGCAGACAGTCTTTGAACAGTCCTAGCCCAGGAGAAACTGAGATGGATCTTCTGGTGACTCGAGAAAGACCTAGACGTGGAATCCGTAACAGTGGATATGATGTAAGTTCATCAGATATATGCAGTGAAATTTGCTTAGCAAATTCTTAACTTGCTCCTAAAACCAGGAAACTGCTGATAAGCTACAGGCCAGAGTGCCACTGGGTATTTAATGTACAGTACGTTATGTGCACTCAGCATCCTGAAAAGGGCTCAGGATACTCAGAGCACACTCTAAAACATGTACTTTGTAGCTGTACATCATTTCACAGTCTGAAATGCAAACAAAACATTTGCTCTAAAACTCGTTGTTTGCCAAAGTATTAAATTTTGTATTTAGATATTCATTCTAAGTATGCAACTGAGCTTATTTTCATTGCAATTAAAATCCTCTGTTCTGTACCCTGTTCTGCTCTCTTGATTCAGAAGAATGGACAACCAGCTTCTGGGAATTTCATTTAAGTCCAGATGTCAGTGTTTTGTGGAAATCCTGTAAGAACAGATATTGTCCTCTTACTGCATCAGAACTGGGAGAGTTTTGAATAGGTAAATGTCAAAACCAGGCAGAGGAGATGCTGGTTTACGGTCCAAGGAACTCACGTGGCCAACACAAGGCAGATTAGTTGTGCAGTCTGAACATACAGTGGTGCAAGTTGACACTGCGTGCACCCAGAATGGAGATAAAATAGTCCCCACACTGGGGCAATGTAGAAATTTTCAATCCTTCACCACGTGTACAAAATACTATAGCTCAGCCAAGCCTGAAGATCAGTCCCTGGAAAACGCTTAAACCATTCTGGGAAATTAGGAAATTCCAGTTCTGGTGGTTGTTCATCCTCTAAACTCTGCAGATGACAAATATTTAGTGTGGGGCTTAATTGTCAACTCTCCCAGCTGCCAGGGATGCATTTTTAGCAAGGTGAAGGAATGTACCAAGGTCGGGGGATGTGTTCAGAGGAGTTTAAATCTTTTTCAGAATTCCTCGGGGCATGTTGTTGGTGTCAGATTCCTTAAATGATCCCCTGCATTTGGACACTTCCCATCAGATTGCATGAGTCATGTTGTGCCATGTAAGTGGGATGACTGGTTCACTGCTTTCTGAGGCATTAAAATACATCAGTCTAGCCTGGAAAAAGAACAGCGTAACTGGTTAAAATAAGGTTTATGTTTTGCAGAAAGATATAGGGGTTTTTTTATCCTACATAAATGTTGCGTTTATTATTGGAGCTTTCTTAGATAACAAAAACATTGTCAAGCCAGCCTTCCCTCAGTATCCTGGAAAACATGTTTCAAGAAAGCAAGAGATTTTTTTAATATACTAATAAAAGGTAGTTTTTCATAGATTATATCTTTCTGAAATTAATATTGAAAACATTCTGGGAGCAGGCATGGCCTCCTGCTATTAGTTCAGAATTAATGTGCTGGAAGTAGTTAGCAGAAGATTTTAAAAATATATTTTAATATATTGTGTATACTATATAAAAATAGAATTTAAAGAAATATTGTTTGGAATTTGTTTAATGAGCTTATGCAGATTCTGAAATGTCCTAAAAGTAATTAAAACTGTGAGATCTGTGCATTTTGCACACAAGTTTGCTTTTACCTCTGTTTTAAGGTTGTAGTTGGGCGAGCTGTCCGTGGCACAGTCTTTTTTACCGATAAGTTCTGTGAAATTCCTTTTGCCCAATGTGCTGCAGATTCACTGCAGTGCAGCTCTGCTAACTCTGGACGTCTTTCTTGTCTAAAAGCAGAAAAATGCCAGAGGAAAATGGGACAGGATATTGAAATTTAGTTCCCAAGCCACAGCTTGCAGCGTGGGCTGGTTTCCCTCGCTCCTGGGTGAGGTTCCTCAGAGCTGTGCCGAGCATCTGACAGGCTCAGTCTCCCAGGATACCTGTGCTGTGCACTTATATCTATATTTATGCAGGGAATTCATATGGATCTCACCAGTGGTGCAACTAAACACTTCTGTAAATCTGACCTCTGGAAATGGGTGAAAAATGGCTCTGAAAAAGGACTGCTGAATCTTGTGTCCTTTTTTTTTTATCTAGTAATATCTTGTACCATTTTTTTGACATCCACTTTGTTTTTCTAAAGGTTCCAGCCTTCTCGGACTCCTGCTAACATCTTCATCCCAGTATATTATTTAGCAGCAAGTCCCACCAACAAATGGTGAAATTTGTCTTTTATCAGCAGATGTTCAAATTAATGAATCAAATAGCCCATATTCTGTTCAAGTCATGAGAGCTGTTACCAGTATGCCCAGGTTATGTGTTGAGGTTTGTCTTCTCAACCATGATAAATGTTTTTTGTTTTTCAAGAAAAAGAGACTTAAGATTCCCCAGATTCTTGAATAAAACTTCTTTTGAACTGCTAGACTCGTATGCACAACCAGATCCTGAGAGTTTATGATCTGCCTGATACTGCCTTGTCCTTTAAATAGGAGAGGGAAGGAAGAGCTCAGAAATCTGCCATTCCATACTACAGATATATATTTAAAATATGGTTCCCCTTTCTAATATTTCAGTCATGATTTTCTAAAAATACTTAATTCCACATAATGGGGTTTTTTGGTGATATTTCTCTGAATCATGGTTCTGTTTCTCAGAGATAAAAACTGGTCAAGCTTACAGTGTCAACAGTTACATACCTGTCCATATAGAATATGTAGCTTTTTGTATTATCTTGGAGTGTACATTATACTGTTTGATGTTCTGAGAATATTATTTGCCATTTATAAATGGATTATTATTGAACAGTACCTATATATACAAAATAATTTACTGGCATAATTTTATTGATATAGTTAAATTAATGCAACTCCTCAGAAAACTTATGGATTAATGTTCACATAAAGAATTTTACTGCTATAGTTGCAGCAGCAGAATTATGCCAGAAGTGTATGAACTCTGTCAGTCAGTACAGGATTTTCTTTTCCTCCTTCCTCTAATTCCAGTTCCTTTTATTGTGTTCCTTTTATACAGTAACTATGTATGAACAATATCCAGATTTTTATAATGGTAACGTTAACATATAATGGCATCTATAGTGATAGTTACGTGTTTCAATCTATATGAAAGCAAATAACATATATCAGAAAATGACAGGATAAATTGAAATAAATTTTAAAACTTGAGGAAAAGTAATGCTCACCAGTCTCCTCCAAAATGTTTGTGCCAATTTTTATATTGATAAATCAAAGCTGACTTAACATTGACTGCTAATATGCATCCTTTATTCATACAATAGATTTTAGACATTCTGTAGAGGTCTGATGGCTTCACCAAGGGGTCGTAGTAGAGAACCTGATTTATTTCACATTGGATACTAATAGGTCTCTTGTGGGATTCCATTCACTGACATTATTCATGAGGAAATGGTAGAGCCATAGTTAGTAATCATTCAGCTGGGACAGTATGATTTCAGAGACTCTTGGGTTGCATTTATACATACAACCTGCAGTTGCACTTTGTAGTCAGGCTTCTAAAATTTACCTGATTTTTATTTACCCTACCCTGTAACAACATAGATAACACTGGAATGAAAATGCAGGGAGAAAATGAAGGGAAACTACTTAGTTGAAGATTTCATACTTTGTGCCATTACGTTGTTCCTCCCACAGTCTGATGTGTGTACCACTTTAGGAAGCCCGAAGTTGGTTTGTGGTTTTGAATTTGGATAATATACTGTATAATTATAACCATATAAATTACAATAAAATTCTAATATACCAATTATTAACTAATGTCTTAATTTTCCTTTTTAATTTTCATTAAGTATAAAATATAGCTATATTTATGACAACGAAGAGAAAAAACAAATTAAGATCTTTTATGTAAATTTATTGTCAGTTTTTAGGCTAACCATGTAACTTCTCTGAATGGTTGATAACAGAAGAAGAAAGTCAATTTGATACTTTCCTCTGCAGGTGAAGAAATATGTATTATGATTTTTCTATGGGCACAGTTGTGTATCTAGTCAGGTATAGAAAAGCACCATTACATGGGAAAAAAAGTATGCCACACTAGGAGATACACAGCACTCAGATTATCAGGACAGTGCTGGAATTTTTATTAAGAACACCCTGTTATATTCTTTTATTTATGGCTATTTTAGTGTTGACACAGTTCTGACCACACACTGTGTATAGAAGGAGGTACATATCCTATTCTTTGTTCCAGTTATCCCAGCATCTTAAATGTGTTTTACTGGTAGTTAAAGATTTATGAGGAATTGGTTGCTTTTTCAGGTTGACTGTTTAAAATCTATTTTTTAGAGCTATAGGCTGTAAAACTAATCTTACAGAAGACAGATGAAGTTAGGTATTTCGCTTTCAAGTTCTTACAATATGATGATTTTTTCTGTTGTGGACTTAGAGGCAAAAAAATCGGGGTGATTTCTGTTGGTACTTATCTATATGAAGGAGTTGCCCTAGGAGTAACTCTTCAAGTTAAGCTGCACGAGTACTATCTGCTTGTTGGGGTATGTCCTTCATTCACTGTTCTCACATGAGGTTTGGATGAATTTCTGCCTAACTACTGTTTGGTGGCTAGGTAAGATGACCAAGCTGGGTCAGGATATTTTCTGCAAAGGACAGGACCTAGTTTGTGGTGGTGTTATTAGTGGTCCTCACTGGGTTAGAAATTTCAGGAAAACTCCTAAACTTTAATTCTTCTGAAATCTTAACGTGTGAGAATGGACAAAAGTATTCCAGTCCCTGTAGCTGTAACAAGTGGTCCCTTGTAAGGGGTCCTTCATAGTGATGGTATTATTTAGGGAGCCATACTCCTCCTGGCACGGTTATGTTCCCATTGATACTAACAACTAAGAAAAGAATTTAAACATTAATTGTAGTTGTTTTTAAGTGAATCATTGACAGCTTACTCTGCCACAGAATGACTCTGCTAGTTTTTGCAGCAAACAATGTAGGATATAAAAGGCTATTATACTTGCCTGCATCATATCGCTCCTTTTCAATATTTGTCACGCGTCTATAGTGTTACAATTCCTGACGTTGTATATGTTACATCTGTGTTTGAGAATGTTTTGTGTGCAGCAGCACAAATACTGTCTTGTAAAGCTTTTTACGTATACGTGCTTTTATTCCATCCAACAGACTGAGCCTGAAATTATAGAAGAAACAAATGTTGACCGTGTCAATGAGCCTCGGAGTTACACCAGGTCCCGTCAGGCCAAAGGCCACTCGGAGACCTCAACTTTAAGTTCTCAGCCCTCCATTGATGAGGTTCGACAGCAGATGCATATGCTCTTGGAAGAGGCTTTCAGCCTGGCCTCTGCAGGCCATGGAGGACAGAGCAGGCAGGAGGCATACAGCTCAGCGCCGCACTTACCCTACTCAGAGGTTGTGACCAGTGCTCCTGGTACCATGACCCGACCTAGAGCTGGGGTACAGTGGGTACCCACATACAGACCAGAAATGTATCAGTACAGTTTGCCAAGACCAGTAAGTGAAATTTCTCTTTAGTATACTGTAATAGCATAAAGATATTTCTACTGAGACACATTTTTTAAAAGAAGTAGCCCTGTTTACATGCTTAAAACCAGATGTAAAGCCATGCTTACAGTAAATAAGTACAGGTAGTGAGTGGGGTGTGTGTATGTATGCTTACCCATACCCATCTCTTGCAAGAAGACTCAGTATCTATTTTAGCAGTAGGGTTGTCTTGTCTAAATTGTGCTTGAAAGAATAGGCTGCACTAAGCTCCAGGCTGTCAACAGATGAAGAACTTGTTTGCATGTCTCCTTCACTGCATGCACATTAGGAAGCAGTTTGGTTTTGTAAAACAGCTATGTATGTGGCTGCATAAGGTCCCTCACTGAAAACCATCATTGGAAGAGAAATAACCAAGCATAATAATCATCGTGACCTGAAATGTGGGCTGTTATTGACAATCTTGAAGTTTAAGCTGTTGACTTGTGACTCTAGAGATGGTTTAACTCCACAGGTTTCTTGGTTGACATTACATAAGTCACTCTTTATCCCTCATTTTCTAGCCTCAAATTGTGGCTAGAATGTCCTTATAGAAGTTATAAATGAATTAAGAACTTAAATCCACGGTGGAAATTGTTAATGGAATTTTTTAGGTATGGAGGAAGCAGTTGCAGTAGTACTGTACATGCCCTTGACGTCTGAAACTACCTCTGAATTCTCACATATGGCATTGTGAAATTCAACAAAATATTTTCCTCCTTACATGTCAGGTACAAATCTAAACCAGAGATGATTGCTTTCAGATGAGAAATAGCCTATCTATCAATATGAACATGAAAAGTTGATAATTTCAAGGCTTTTTTGGTTGGAAATTAATGGTTTTTGAAAGAATGCATTTCAAATTGAGTCCCTTACTCTAGCTAGAATAAGAGGATAATGCAGGAAAATGTCCTTAGTTCAAAATAACCATTACTATGACTTCCTTCCGTGACAACAAAAAAAATACATTAAGGCATGCTGCTTCTCAACTATTCTGAACATATTTGAAAGTCAGTGGCATTGCCTATAAAGGCTCAGGCTGGTGCTGTTTAAATCATGTTAAAGGTTGTTTCTGGCACTTTGAAATTGGTCCAATGAACTTCATACAGCATATAATCATATTTCATGGTTAGAATTTGATTACAAGCTTAAGAGACAGCTAATGGGTAGTCAAATCACTTTGATGCTTCAGAGTCTTTCTGAAATGAAATTAAAAATATTATATGGTGACAGGTTTTAAAAAAGTGTCATAGCGATACTTTTTTGGTGAATGCTTCACTATTTTCTTTCTAAGACTCATTACTCTTCTAAATCATCTGCATGTTTAGGACCTCTAAGCATTTGTTTATCTTTGTGGCATTTTGAAGCTAGTGTTGAAAAGTTCCCTGAAGATAATTGATCACCACAGATAGGATAGTCATAGGCTACTGGAATTTGGAAAGGGCTGTCAATTCATAGTTTTCTGCGCATCGGTTTCATTAATACAAGCAGCACTTACAACTAAGCTTGTTATCTTCTTACATCTGCAAACCAGCAGAGGCCTTCTGTGTGTTTTGGGCTTTTTGGGGGGGCTTTGGGGTTTGTTTTTTTGTTTTTTGTTTTTTATCTGGTAACATAAATACCTAAATTATCCATATCTCTTGTGGGGGAATGCCTGTTTGCCAAAACTGTCTGTGGGTGACCTGTGATAACAGGATTCCTTCATATGGGGCTCATGCCTTCTCCTGGCAGAGAAAAGCTAGGAAAATGCAAACTCTTAGTGTTGTTCCGAAGCCTCCAAAAATGGGATGAGCAGCACTGGGCTGGTTTCTTGTCATGCAGCTGATGTACTGCAACTGGAGGATGGAGTTATAGCGTCAAGTGTATAACACGAGCCCAACTGCCAGTGTTGTACCTTGTCAGATCATGTTACTGCTTTGGCAGTTTGTGCAGCTGAGTTGAGCAAAGAGCTATGGCCAGGGGAAAAAAACCTCTTTATTACAAGGCTGGCCTGGTTCCCATCGCTCCTCTTTAGTGCTTTGGCAAGAGGAGTGAGAGTAACAGAGCTCTGGGTCCCAGGTGAGAACCTAGCACTGTTCGACAGGCACTGATGGACAGACTGGTAATGTATCCAAGTCCTCAGAGTTTCTCTTCATTTAACAGAGGTAAACTGGGAGTATTTTACTAAAGTAAGCTACTTTCAATAGCAGTTACTAAACTAAATATAAAACAGAACAACTAACAAAACAAAAACCAAATCCAGCTGAAATAAATGTTTGCATTATTTCTGGATTACAGTCAATAATCAAATTAGTTGAATCATTCAATGAGTAAACAAAGACACTGCCCTTTTAATTCCTGTGTGACATATAAGGAGATGGGTATTTCTATAGTTAGAAGGCAACATTGAATAATTTCACCCAAGACAAATACATCTCTAAATTGGAGGTGGTAAAAATATTTTAATACTGCAACTAGGTATATGTAGCCTTAAAACTAACTGAAAAGTTTCTCCTTTAGATTTTAGTTATTGTGGGCTGATTTAACTTTTCTTTCCTGCAGCCTGACAGGCAATACCTTAGACTTTTGAGGGTTGTAGAAGGCACTGGAGCAGGTATCTGTTGGTGGCTGGACTTCATCTTCCAGACAGTTGTGTTGTATGTCTCCTGGGCCCAAAGGCTGAAGTTTCTCTGCTAAAATGCACTTACTATTTTTTAAAGTTGTTCACTGGTTTGCTTTTTAAATTGTCAGTGTTTTAGCCACAACAGGCTCCTTCACTGGCATTTCTTTCTGACAGGGTGGCATGGGGTCTGCAGTCTGGTACCTGAATCTCAAATTTTATTACTTCTGCCAGTGATTGTTGCAGCCTTTGTATTATACAAGTGCTCATTTTTCAACAAAATAGAGTTTGGAATCCATGCAAAATGTTTATCTTAAGTTTTTTGTTTGTTTGTTTCTGGTTGTTTTTTTGTGAACCAAAGTGATGCAACATTTTTTTAAAGGATAAACTAATTTTGAAGAACAAAATTAGGCAAATTTTCTGTCAAATCAGCTGTTGGGTTTTTTTTTCCTGATGGGACTTACAACAGTACGAATTTCAGTGAAGTGATCGTTATTTCTGCAATCATACCAGTTAGCCTAGAACCTAAGGACTCGTCTAAATCTATAACAGACTAGGCTTCTCTAGTAAATACTTGGTTTAATTTAGCCTCTGAACGTTTTTTTTTTCTATTTACATATTGCATGCAAGAAAACACTAATGCCCCAACCCATTGGAGAAATTATAGAAATTTTATTGGAGTTCCCTCTTGTAACCATATTGGTTTCTGTGGAAGCTCAGCACAAAGAGGACAGACTGTTCCTGGGCGTGGTGTAACAGATCTTCTAATAAGATTTTTGACCTTAACAGGATTCCCTGTGCCCAGCCATAAGCAAAAATATTGCCACTCAATCAAAATTGTTCATCTTCTATATAAGCAGCAAAATAAGTGCTTTGATTTTCTATTTTTTTTTTCACCAAAATTTTCAACACAACTTGCAGTATGTTTGTGAGCTGTTCTTTGTGACCATTAGAATGTCTCCTTTGATGTCCATATTCCAAAAGCACATCCACGAACATGCCAGAAAAAACCCAAATCTACCTCTGTGTCTCTGTCTACCCTGTTATACTCCAACAGTATCTGGAGTCACTATCCACTCTGAAACATTAGCTCATGTGCTGTTCCTTTAAAATTGGAGGAAAAAAAAAGAATTTAATACTTGGTACAAATGCATGCTGAGAGGAAGATGTGGGATGAAAGGCTTGTGGAGCCAGAAGGAAATGTTTGGCTCAGCCTGTGAGAGCACTGCTAGCTTTTCAGATGCAGAAGAGGCATTGCGGACCATTTCAAGTCCATCATTATTAGGAGAAATCTAATTGAGGTTTTCTTTGATGCAAATAGCATTTGTTTTTTCTATACAGTTCTTTCTTTTTTTTCCAACTCCTGACTAGGAATTGTACCATTGCCTTTTTGGAATTTTTTTCCACCTAAACACAGAAATACTTTAAATACTATTGTAGCATGGCAGAAGTAAACATTAGGAGACTTTGTAGGTGGCATGAAAGGAAAAATTATTTTCATAAACATGCCTTTGAGGGACTCTACCCTTCTTTAAAAGAGTTGTCAGTGGGAGGCAGGAGAAAGATGCTTGGTCTGTATTGCTTTTTCCTTAGAGACACTGACATCAAAAGTCAGTATTTGATAAGTTGTCTTTCCTTTGTGTTAACCCAGTTTTGCAGCTATTTGAGAAAGAAGGTTTGGAACACTGTCTAAATGTGTAATTTTTAAAGATGATTACTGAAAGATAGTGGGTTTTGATATTTAGTGTGGGATTTATATTGCCAAATTCAAACCTAAATGTAGGTGTTAAGTCTGAGCTAATCATTTAAATCCTGTAAGCTCTTTCTACAGGCAGGAGATAGAGAGTGACTCATCCCATGGAAACGTCTTCTTAGCTTTCTCTGCTGTTTGTGGAGAGAGCTTCTCTGGCCAAACCAGCTACCTCTTGTTTAGAGGGCCAGAGTCCTACCATTGGACTTGTGATTCTAGTTTTTTGTCAAAATGCCTATGTCTTGTTACTGGACAGCCTCCCCAGAATTTGTTATGTGCTTTTATTCTGATCTTATCTTTAATTTTGTGTATTGCTCTGAAGCATAGTCAATAAAAGCATAATTTAAAAAAACAAACTCAAAAAACAATGTGTTGAACAAAAGTGTCAATGGAGTGTTAGAGAGATATCATCCATCTGTCTTTAAGTGTATTTAGCAAAATTATGACCTCTAATCTAGAGCAGTACAAAGAATTTAGAAGATAAATTTTGCCCTAAGTGTCATTTCTTGGGTGCCACGGGTTTAATGCACACGATTACGTGTCCTTCACTTGTATTACTGATGAAATCCAGAGTTACTAGGGGCAAGATGCTTAATTTTGTGACTTAGTGGGTTGATCCTGTGTTCCTCTGAATTACTCTGCTTTTTTGAAACTGTTTGAGACCTTTATTATTGCTTTAGAAAGTTACAGAGCTTGGGGTTTTTATGAAGAATTTTCTTTTCATCTCTCCAAGGATGAAAGGAAGAGGTTGAAATATGAATTGCTTACAGGCAGCTTCACTTCACTAGATACTGCTCTGAGGATGCTTTCTGAATCTTTAAAATACTTGGTTTCTGGAGGAAGTGAAACTACAGATATCTTTTCCTATGCATCCAAAGCAGCTGTTGAGTCTCACATAATCATAACACATCTGCTTTGTGAGCAAGCTTACAAATGTCACAGAGTTTAATATGTTTAATTAAGCTTCATTTGGCTCTGAACTCCTTTGTTCGTGTTTTCTTCAAATCCTAAAATCACCCAAGCACTGTAATTCTCAAATAAAATTACTTTTGATGCCACAAAAAGTTAACTTCCTGTTAACTTCCTGGCTGGCACACAATGCAGGTATTTAATTTCTGAGGTTCTTTTGGTTTTTAATTTGACTGAGATCTATTGGTGTTTCAGAAAATACTTCTTTTTCTCCTTTTCAGGCTTACAGATTTTCTCAGCTTCCTGAGATGGTAATGGGTTCTCCTCCTCCTCCTGTCCCTCCCAGAACAGGTCCTGTGGCTGTTGCCTCTCTCAGGAGGTATTTATCTGTTGTTTTATTTTAGGTATGATCTCTAAAAATGACTGTTGTAATAAGAAATGGAGCAAACCCTAAAGTGGCACTTACAAGCCACTTATAAAGGCATATTCATTCAATTGGAAACATATTTTTGTTTCATTTTAACATGAAGAGGAAAGGAATAACAATGAAATTTCTCCTCTTTTAGCTAATCAGCTTCAATGAAATTAGGAAATCCAGGCTCTGCTTTCTTTTAAAACATGCTTTGCCTCAACTCACATAATGGTGTGTTGTACTGCAGATGTGTGGTAGATAATTCGCACTGTCATTCTCCCTGCTTTTTTCTATTGTAAGGATTTGCAACATGATATGGATGAATTGTAAAATGCTTCTCAGAACCTCAGGTCTGGGAATTTCTGCCCAGCTTTCAGATACCTCATGCCTGTGTTTCTGAAGCCAAATAGGTGTAAAAGCCTGACTGCCTTAGCTAAGTGCATACATTTTGTCTCTTGCTCACAGTAAGGCACTCTTTTAAATGCATTTCAAGGAATTTTTACATTTCTGTGGTGGATGAACTCATTTAGCCTTCACTGTTGTGCTGTTAGGTACTATCAAGTGCCAACTGCAATTCGAGGCACTGCAGGCCTGCTGAGAGTTGCTGTGGAGCACCGAGGCCAAAGGAAACTTTTCTGAGCGGCTGCTAATGATATTGCAACTGCATCCAAATACTCAGCATACGGACACTGTCTGTTGACATATTCTTGTTCATCCATTACATTTTAGCTCTAAAGCAACTGGGACACACTGTTTCAAAAGATGTTAGTACTTCACAAGTGCAGTTCACATTACTGACCATAGTAGTCTCCTACTATATGATATCATGTCATATATACTGTAGTAATGTGATACTGTCTCAGTGAAGAACTATGGTAAAGCTCTGGTTTTTGTGTTACATGTCACCAACATTTGTTTGAAGCAGCAAGCAAAGGTTCTATGCAATGGTAATAACATGCTTTGGCAAAGTAGCTAAAGAAGTTGTTCTCAGAGTTCTCCAGACTAGTTCTCCAGTTGTTCTCCAAACTTCTGTCATGCGAGAGCAAAATCAGACAGCTCATTCCTAGCTGTATTGTCATATTATAGCTGATAGGCATGTGTGCAGCTATGAATTTTGTCTGTTAGTCAAAATTACAAAAGTTTTTATTTTATTTTTTTATTTCTTAATGCAGGTCTACATCAGATATTGGCAGCAAAGTGAGAATACCAGAGTCCAGTGGGGCAGATCAGGCCCAGCATCATGATCAGGCAGCTTTTGCACCTAGTTCAAGAGCTCCGATGTCTGTTGGTCCACTTGATCAATCAGCTTTTCACTCAGGTGAGAAAATAGTGCAGACCCAACTTGAGAGCCTTATAATTTTTATTTGATTTTATATTTTTTTTAATCTGTTGTCAATTAATTAAATATAGTAGGTTTGAAGGATCCATTCTACTCTCACTTCTTGTCATACCTTCTGCAAATCATGCATGTGAATCTGGAAAGAGCAGATACTTCCCCTTTCATTTTAAAGCATTTCAAGCTATAAAATATGCCATGGTACCAAGAGCTCTTTCTTCATGTCTGCAGTAACATGTTCTCTGTTACATATATATTTTTTTATTATTTCCAGTGATGTGGAGATTTTATTGCTGTATGTTAAGACCAGGTATGTTGTGCCACCACTGAAGAGTGGCTGCATTTCAGAAAGTGACCTCTGTGTACCTTGTGGAGTTTGTCAGAATTATTCTGGGAGTATTTGGAGGGAACTTTCATGTATGATAGATGCTACAAATGGCTATAGTACAGGGAAAGACAAGGAGAGTTGTGAGAAAGTTGCAACTGTAACACAAACAAGGATTTCTAATGTTATGTTAGGAAAATAATTTTTTATTGCCTCAATGGATGAAGAAACATCGCTGCAGGTGCTGTTTTGGCATGAAACAGCCTAATGTTGGCTCATGCAGCCCACCAACATCACCTTTAAGATAATGATGTTGCAGTAAGAACTGGGATAAGGTATTACATCAGTTAACTGAGTGTTCATTTTGAATAGTAGGTCATTTTGCTGTGGTTAAATTAAAAGAGCATTTTCGTGTAGAAGCCATTTGTCATGTACAGGAGCAGCACTTTCTTCTCTGTACCTGTCTGAAGAATGCTTATTTCCAACCTTGCGAACCCCTTTAGAGCTGATAGGCCTGCATATGTGCATTACTCTGAAACCCATGGTAACAACAGCTAAAAATCAAATACAAGGATGCAAATGTAAGAGGAAAAAAAAGCCTTTTTTCTAATGATTCAAAGTTTTGATGAAGATCAGTTGTTACAAGGATCTAGTCCTAAGGACTGAGTCCTTATATCTTTATCTGAAGGCTGTGCATGATTATACAGACAACTGCAAATCTTGCCTTCTCCAGTATTTCCAGCATTATAGAGATGTTCTAGTCAGGTGGCGGGAGTCTTCTATCCAACTGATGGTGATCACATTCTCACAACAAACAAACAAACATAACAAAACCCAACCCAGCTGAGGCCAGTTACTTCATAAACACTATCTTCTAATTTATAACTGAAAATGTCAGCTATTAATTATATCTGCTCTCTTTCTTAATAGGAAATACCGTACCAGCAGTATTTGCCATACCAGCAGCAAACCGACCTGGCTTCACAGGCTATTTTATCCCAACACCGCCCACTGCATACAGGAACCAAGCCTGGATGCCCTATGCTGGAGAGAATGAATTACCAGGGCAGTGGGCAGACTCAGTAAGCATCCTTGCTTTTCTAACTACATGTATTTTCTGTGATTTGCACAAGAGGCATTTTAAGCAATGCTGAGAGATCAGCAAAGAATCTGAGCAGGATAATTCTTTTGTGAATGGGAATAATCTCTAGTAGTGAAATGCTACAAGACAAGGCATAGATACTTTAGCTGTCCATCCCATGAACTCTAAACGAGGTCTTTAGAGAGTTAAATCATTCATTAGGCTAGTAGCTGGCACCCATTCAAAATTGGTCGGTTAGGGACCATTTTCCTTTCCCAAGACTGAGATTAAATGTCTAGATAGGCACATGGCAGGAGTAGGTGATGCTGCCAAGGTGGCCTTGTGCAGTTTGGAAGCTGGGGAGCATATTTTCCTCCTGGAGGCTTCTCTCAAGACAGTCTGGCTCCCAGCAGCCCTGCTGCGCAGTGTTTTGAGCCCTGCAGGCTGGAGTGACAGATCATAATTTAGGCATTTAATTGCCCAATCCTAGTCTGGGACAGATGTAAATTTTAGCACAAAGTATACCTATATTTCAAAGAAATAAAGTTGAGACATCCTAAAATAAATTGCAGTAGTTTATCATGTTGGAAACAACTTCTAAAATTTAGGGCTTTTTTCCTACTAGGAAAAAAAAAAATCAATTCTGCTGCCTGAGCTTATATCTCATATTTATGCAGAACCAATTCAGCTAAACAAACTGGGAGATGGATTCTATTTCCTTGTGCGTATAATCAACAGAATATTTTAGAGAATTGCAGTTGGAGTCTGATAGTTGGCTTTGAGCAGCAAAGCAAGAGACAACACAGTCATATAAATATTCCTGGGAGCAGCTATTTGTTGCTAAATCTTTATTACTGCTCCTGATGCCTGGAAGGAAAAGAATTCAGTTTGACTGTCAGATGCAAGTCTGAATTTGTAGGCTGAACTGTCAAGAAAAAAGAAGTATGTTCATCTGTAAGCTGAGCACATCTGCTGATGTGCCTCTGACACCTGGAGGCTTGTAATGCCGTCGTACAGATTCCCTTCCCAGAGCTGCCCTTTAAAGCATGGAAAACCTTTTTATTTTCCTTTTTTTTAATGTTTGTTTGGTTTGGTTTTGTTGGTGTTAACCCTACTGATGTCTTAAATCCAGGAGGCCCATTGTATCTGAGCAATCATTTTAACCTTTTTCTTTAAGAAGAAAAGATCCCCTACAAAACAAATCAGGAAAAGTATTTTACTTGTCTTCCATTCTTTTTCCTTTTTGATTCCCTACTTCTTGGCTGCAGTCCCATGAAAAAAGAGTCAGATATCACTTGTCAAAAGGTGAGATTGAAAATACACTGAACAAAATGGAAAAGCAAGTCTCCAGCCCCTAGTTCTTTCCTGTGGAAGAGTGTATCGCTGTTGTGGGTTTCCCTGTCTTCAGGGAAAGAAGTGGGAGGAGCAGTTAGTGCCAGTGGACCATACACAGAGGAATGGAGAAGGATGCGAGAAGCTGTTTGAAAAATAACTGTGGCAATATAGAATTCAAAGGAAATAAATATTCCTTTTAACTTCTCTTATCCATTACAGAGCTTTAACACTTCTTGTTACTCAGACCTTCAGCCCTCCTGTGTCTTTGCAGAAGAGAAAAAAATGTAAAAACAAACCACTGTGGTTTCTACAGTGAATTTACATCTCCCAATGACTGCAGATCTGCCAAGAAATTGTATTTATTCGAAAATCATTACTAGAGGAACTAGTGTTAGCAACATAATACAATCAGAAAGCCTGAATAAAACTGCAAAAAATAAAGATCTAAAGTAATATGCAGAGTTTGAGTTTCTGATTTCTGAGCCTCTAGATTATAGCTCAATCATGCTTCTAAGCTTTTCCTGACAATTAATAAGAACAGAGGCTTAATATTTGTAAGCTGAAAATTGAAGTTTTTTACTTTTCATGCGTTTCCACTACCTGGACTGTAAACAAGGGGACGTAAGAAACAGGAGATTTGACAACAAAGAATTATCTCATAAGCTCAATTTACTGTGTTATTTTGTCAGTTAAATGGTAAGTATGGATGCACTGAGTTTTGTGGGAGAAGAGAACTGTATGTAACAAAGCATTTATTTTCCCAATTGCTAGATGCTGCTCAGTGAAAGTAGTAACCTGGTGGCCTCTAGTGGCATGTTCCCATGTTATGCTACTAAAATGTTTCTTTTGATTAATCTGTTGTAAACTAAACAGAGGCAACTGCCTTTAATAATCACTTTCATATAATGCCTGCTTCCTCTGTTCATCTCATCAATGAATGTGTTTGACATTCTCTTCATTGCTTGATGGATATCCAGGATCACATGAGTAAATCTTGGTGGTCAGGTTTTCATAGGTTCTTAGATGCCTAAAGTGGCAAGATTTTCAAAAGCACCCAAGGGGTTGTTAGACTCTCACAGGGGCAGAGCCAAAATGGATTTAAGCAAAATTCCAAAGCTGTCATTTTGAAGCCCATGTTGAGGTCCCATGTTCCCCAGAAGGTGTATAAAACTGGCAGATGTTTCATAGCTTGACATTTCAGTCTGCTTGCAGACACTTAAAATTCTGAAATTCTGCTTCTGGCATACCCAAGAAAGTGTTAGCTCAGGTGGGTGAAGCACCTTGCACTTCAGTCTGACTGAAATCCAAAAATTAGCCGAGATGTGTGCCTGGCCACCTGTATTATATGCTTATATAAGACCTTAATTCATTTAGAAAATAAAAAACCATGTGGTTTTCCCATTTAAAGCAAAAAGAATTCTAAAGTTAAATTTCTAGTGATTGAACATTGTGGAAATTTATCAGTTAACTTGTAAGTGTGGTATTCTGAGTACAGTGTAGGTAAGTGCAGTTTTCTGAGTCACTCAGTTCATAAAAAAGCATCACTGAACTTTCCTTCCTTGTCATTGGCATGGACTAGAATGATTGGCTGGTAAGCTTTTTCTCAAAGAGAAATTATCTTGTCCTAGGAATAGGGTATGGGTTGCCTTCTGTAACAACACAGAGCCGCCTTCAACATGAAGGGCAGTAGATTCCTGTTTTACAGAAATGTGCAAAACATAAATAAATGCTATTTTTATTTGATACGTTAAAAACTTCTGAGAACTGTAAAGACTGGTATTGTGGATTTGTGAAGGAAATTTATCACAGTGACTAAAGGGCCTATATTATTATTCTAGTTTTAGCCAGTGTAATGTGGAGCTGAAATCAGTGAAGTTACAACAGAGTAAAATTGTGAATCCCCTGTGTAATTGTTAAATGTGGCCAGAAATCCTGATACTTCTGAGAAGTCAAACCTCCTTTTCTGTGTTGAGTTTCCAGGTTGGCATACCTGAGCTCACCATGCTTGGATCTAGTGAGTTTTTGTTAGGAACAGGAGGTACTGAGACTTGGCTGACTTGGATTAAACAGTGGCTGCAAATCAGCAAACTCTACTTTTCTGTTCTAGGCTTTTTGATGTCTTGAAAGATAGTGGTGCTGTTTGTTTAAAACAGAAATGTTTAGGAGGAACAGTACACAGAGGACACACTTTCAGAAAAGCCTTCTCCCTTTGACTTTTTGCTGTGATGACAAATTAGGACGTGCAACATTTCCCCTGCTAGGTGTTTTTGCTGCCACGGTCTGGGGACTTGAGTACCTGGTGCACTGACATATGTGCATAAATGGCATATGCCAGGATAGACGTTTGTAAACGGATGCTTACAAGCATGGGGTTTATGTTCTCTTCATATGATCCTACCTGTTACATCTTGCTCCACCCCAGGGAGGTTTGTGTTACCTGGCAGGTGGCACTCGGCTCAACTGTTTGGTATAATGTTGTACAATTACAATGCTCTACAGGTACCACTACCTGGATACATCGAGGCTTATCCGAGGCCCCGCTACCAACATAATTCTCCTTCACGACTTCCTCGCCAATACAGCCAGCAAGCGAGCATGCATCCCAGCCTGGAACAAGCTCCTTTGCCATCTACTGCAGCTTCTCAGCAGAGCCTGACAGAAAATGACCCGTCTGACACTCCGCTCACCAACATTTCTACAGCTGCCCTCGTAAAGGCAATAAGAGAAGAAGTTGCTAAACTGGCCAAGAAGCAAACAGATATGTTTGAGTTCCAGGTCTAATATGTTTTGTGCACAGTACTTGTACCATGCAACCTGGGGTAGCCAAGAAAGCGACTCCTTTAATTTTTAATTACAAACTTGCTGTGAATTGTGCCAAAGTGATGGCATTTTACTCTGTCTGAAAAGTCAACACTATGAAATGACTTAAAGTAGAACAACAGGACTCTGAAGATACATAATTCTGCTTGCCAGCTAAGGAAATGCTGCCAGGTAACTGTTTAATATGGCTAAGACTGATTATATGCAGTTGTTTGCCACTTAGCTCTTGTACTATGACCCATCATCACTAGAGATGCTGCTGAACATGTCTGCACCACACGATGTTTCGTTTGCAGGCCCAAAGGTAGAGCTGCTGAAAATAACTTCTGCATGTCAAAACTTTGATTAAAGAAGAAAATACAGTAGAAGATGGTTAGCTAAAGGCCATGGTAGGTGTGGCAGTGGCCATGTTAATTGTTTGCAGCAGGACATTGTGTAAGGGATGCTGATTTCAGCAATGCAGAGTCATTCAGCCTTTTCATTCTAGAGACTGGATTCAAACCAAAAGAATTTGAGATGAGTAAGTAATAGAAATAAATGTCCTGTAAATAGCCCTGATTCTTCTCATCCTGTTAGCAGTACAAAGAAGTGAAAGAAAAGAAGACTGTGAAGAAGGCGAATGATATTTTGATAATCGGTGGCTACCTTGTCCCTGAATGCCACCGATGAGTTATGGAGGAGATTTTTTTCAGTGTGAGAGAACACAATGCAAGAAGAGCCAACAAAGGATATTGGTGCTAGAAGCTTCCAGGAGAAATGAAAAAAGGTTATTCGCGTTTGCTCTATATTCAGGCTTTTCACTCTGAATGCATGTGACGCTGGTAAACCTGAGACCTTTGAGCAAGTCTTTCCAGCCTGGAATAATGAATACACCTGCTCGGACAATAAAACCTCTGTTGAACACAGTACTTTTTTCTCTTTCTTAAACAATGATATCTACTAAAGTAAAGCCAGAAAGTGCTACCTGAAGCTGCAGATGATTTTGATTACACTGGAACAGTGAATGCACACCTAGGAAGTTCTGAATGTAGAGGACTTGATTATTATATTAACGTGTAAATAAGTAAACGGTTACATGGATTAACAAAAATACTTATGTTCTGTGAAAAAGAGCATTTCCAGAAATTATGCTGACGTTATATTGTGCAACATAAAGGTCACTAATTGTTAAACTGCATTGTTGTATGAATGCAATCCCAAAAGAAAAATCAAAGCAGTTGAATGGGACAATAGTTCATCTTTTGCAGTTGTACAAACTAGTTGGAGAACACGAACGATTGTTTTCTGTTCCTTCGGCAGTTAGCTTTGGGAACTGAAGTTGTTGCAATATACATTGTGTTGGGCATGTTTGATGTCAACTGGAGTTAAAGGTAATGTCCTTCATTTCAGTAAGTTATTTAGTTATCCTCAATTGTTTATGCTATTTTGTCTGATCATTTCATTTCCCTGATTTCTTTGGTCTTTACTGAGGTAAGAAAGGGAACTTGGTTTAGCTTTTTGGTCATCAGTAAAATGAGAGAAGGAGAGATGAGACTTGAATAGGGGATAGAAGAAGAAATTGATGAAGCACAAACTTTTAAAGCAGAGCTATTTTTTCCCCAAATAATTATATTATAAACCCTGACTGAGATTGTGACACATAGTTAGCCTGGAATATACAGATATCTTCTGCTCCAGTACCTTAAATACTGCAGAAGTTTTTGAAATGCTAGCTAATCTTTAAACAAATGTGAAAATTCATTTTTATTATTTAAAAATCAAATATAAATAAAATGTATTTTTGTAATTTATTTGTATATATATTCTGTATATTTATATGTGACTAGTCTGCTGTGGTAAGAAAATTTCCATAAACCAAGTTGAAAGAAAAAGAAGAAAAAAAAAACCCTAGTGATTTTAATGATCAATATAAACATGCTATGTCTGGAATACACAAATATACATTTGGGTGACTTGGATACTAAACAACCAAAGAAACTCAATCTTTCATATAAATATAAGTCCAGTAAAGACAGACTGCTGCCTGTTACCTGTCAGCTAACTAATACTGATCTTATCAGTGTAATACAATACACCCAAATGTCTTTTGTGTTGAATTGACTGCTGCCTAAGAATATTGTACTTAAAAAAAACAACTTAAAAATACTGGGCCAAACTCAGTGTGCCATAAAGAGACTAGTTCTGGTTGGCTTCAGTGGGAACATCGCTTGCTGAGAGCAAGGCTGAGTTTCTCTATTAGGATTTGTCTATATGTGCAACTTTCACTAGAATCCCTGGAATATTCTGATTATTTTTCAGTCATTTAAATTACTGTAACATAAGTGCAGACATAATTGAAGAGCAGCTTACTTTTGTTTAGCTTAAGCTGGTTCATAACTGGCTTAACCTAACTTGGTAAGTGAAATCTACACCAAATTGTGCCAGCCATGTTTTGCATCAGCTTTATTACCTCAGTTTTTGAATGATGCCTCTATTTAGTCCCGTGAAATTTTGCAAGTGGATAGGCCCTTCTATGCAATGAAGAAATATGCTGTGAAATAAATTTCTGTATCTTAGACTCCAGTTTTGCAGAGTTATCCTAAAGCTGCAAGTATGGAAGCAGCAGCAATCACATGGATGGGAGTGCTGAAGCAGTACAGCTGGGAAAGGTAACGTTAAGACATATTCCCAAGTGAGTCACAGGAGGTAGGACATACTAGATTTAAACAGCATCTTTGGGACACTTAGCTCTGCTTTTAAATCTGTACCCGTTCTCCAATTAAAGTGATTTAATAGTTCTGTCAAAAAATGTATGAGGATAAAGCCAAGCATCTATCTTGCCATACTGGAAATCAAAGTTTGGAAATTATATAGATGTACAGGGTTTGAATGCAAACAGAATGAACAAATACAAAACCCCCAAATTAAGATATTTAAATAGCCTTCTAGAAAGACAAACCATTTCAGTAAAGTTAAACAAAGTACTCTTCATACTACTGAGGAAGACCCGTTAGACTTTCAAAGTCAATTTTGTTTGGTATTGTATTGATGATGTGCAGTCTACTGACTGTTCCCTCAACCATCACTCTGAAACCATTGTGGTGCACTTTATTCACAGACATTTTACATTCTTCATTCGTAATGGATTTTTATCTTATTTGTAATATGTTTCTGTATTTTTTTTTTTTTAAGTACAAAGTAAGATTATATCAAGACAGTAAGGATGTTTCTGGGAAAGAAAAATCATGCTGTAATATTTATACTGTCTGAGCACAAAGCAATGATAAAGTGAAAATATAGTGTACAAATAATTTGTAATATAATAAACATTTTGTATGGCTACAATTGCAATACAGTTTTTCAATATTGATTTCAGAAAAGAAAGTATACCTGTTTAAAGTTATAACCTCATTAGAATATATTCATGCCATTTTTGCTGATAAAAACTTAGTCATTCAAGTTTTTCTACTAAATGCCCCAATTTTCTTCAAAATGGTGGTAAATGTTTAGGTGAAAATACTGTTTTCTGTGTACAAAAACGTTGATGTTCTGACCACTATTTGTCTTCAGATTTGTAAATTCTCAGTAGAAAGATCTGCAAATGAAATACACGTAAAATTACTTCTCGGTATGTGTGTAATGACCACTCTCAGCAGGTATACTAGTGTGACATTTATTACCATCAGTAACTTCAAGAGGATAAGAGGCTACTCTTTGACAGCCATTTTTTGAGAAAAACATATTATCTGGATTTGAGAGAAGCTCTAGCACTCAGTGTAGAAATATTAATATTTGAATCTAATAATATTAGCGATAGAACTTGAAAAAAGCGCATGTAAATCCTATATATAGACATGGAGAAATTATCATAAGTAATGATCATTTCTTTTTCAGACTAACTTTGAAAATATGAGACATAAGAAATGTAAGATAACGTAAGATAAAAATTTGAAGCAGGTAGAAGTAACAGTGGATTGAGTGGCAGAACTGTCTTGTTTAAGGGATGATACATACAAAGCTAACTACAGTTTTCGTTGCATTTCAAGATGTCTGACTGTTAAAGAGTTAATTACATTTTAACATTTTTTACTTAGTCCTGCATTGCAAGTATAAGAGCTAACTGCCAGCTTCTAAAAGTGTGAGGGAGCTTGAAAGCAGCAAGTTTTCTGAGCTAGCAGAAGTTAATTTGTTTTGCTGACTTTGTTCATCTTGTACACATCTGAGCAGCTCCGAATACTGTGTCCAAGGATGTTGTAAACCAGTTACGGTCCTGACCTTGCATTTCTGGTATATAAACAAATCTCAGTGGCTTCCCATACCTCATTGACATGAAATGGGAGAGGAGGAGAACAAGTGCGAGATGATATGAAGGATATGAACAGGTCAGGAGTACCTTAACAGTCTGGAAGCCATGGATCTTCTGTTGTGTGTTAACTCATACCTGCTAGAAAATGGTTGTTTGGCAGCTGTCCTCAGCGAAGTGCATTCCTTTCATTGTCAGTGACCGACGTGTATAAATTAAGTCTTAATCCTATCATGAGAGAGTGTATCAATTTGTGCTCCCACTCCTTTGTGTAAGCCACATGCATTGTCTGTGTAGCTCCACATGAGCCAGTGGCATAATTAACACGACTGTTTTCCAGTTACTCATAGTGATGTCTTGTAATAAAACAGCAAGTTGTATGGCATCTTACATATATTTTACTACATCATTGGGGGATGGAAAAAAGGACATGGTCACTCAGTATGTTAGTGTATTAATACGATTAGAATTTTTTTTAAAGGCTTTTTGAAAAAGGGAAAGTTTGATCTACTAAGATCAGGACTGCTCCCTAGGCAGTGTGTGCAAGACAGCAGCCCTCTTCTGCTCAGTACATTGTTGTGGCTGATGGAGATCTCTCCTCTTGCCACTTACCTCCCCTCCATCAAAGGGTACGAATGAGCACACAGCTTTTTTGAGTAAGGCAGATGTAATTTTGAAA